CCTAAGTGGAGTATCTTGCATTTGTTCCTGTTGAACTTCTTTTTGTTAGTTTTGGTCCATCTCTCCAATCTGTCAAGATCATTTTGAATATGTATGTGTGTACACATACATTTACTTTTTATACACACACATACGTATATACACATATATTATGTATACGCACATATATAATATATTATCATATATTATATACATACATACATACATTATATACACACACACATTATATATACATAAATGCACTGGCTTAAATTGTGATTGGCCCTAGAGACACCCGAATCACAGCAGTGATGGAACAGATAGAGGAGAAGGCATCCCTCTCCCATTAGGTGTTTCTCCTTTTTTCAAAAGGGAGAAGCTGGCACTTTCCTGGGAGAGATAGAAGCCATTAATTTCCCTCCCGGCCCTTATCTCCTCTCTCCAGGGGAGGCCTGCATCGCTGCAGCGGGAAGGATCTTCTTGCGTCGGCGCTAATGACTCCTTGATGGCGGAAAATAAAAACCCATCAAGCTGGAGCCTCTGGGCCGTGGCAAAGACAGACGCTGCCGGTGGCACTGACCTAGGGCGAGATGCTCCAAGGAGACAGAGGCAGGCTTCTCTCTCTGCTCTGAAGCGTGGCCGCATTGCGCTCGATGGGCTCAAGGCAAACCAGACCATGACACCGGACTAGGGGTGAGCCAGGCCTGGGCAAGTCAAGGCAGCAAACCATTTCGCGGAATTGATAACACCTTAGCCCTGAAATTTCCTCCTCCTCCTTTCCTTCTCCTCCTTTATTTCCTCTCTTCCTCCTCCTCCATCTCCTTCGTCTCCTCCTCCTTTTCTTCCTCCTTCATCTTCTTCCTCTCCTCCTTTCCTTCCCAACTTCATTTTCCTTCTTACTGCTTCCTCTCCTCTTTCTCCTTCCCTTCCTTCATCTCTTTCATCTTATAATCCTTTTCCTATTCAGTCATCTCCTTCTTCTTTCCTTCCCTACTTCCTCCTTTTCCTTCTCTTTCTCCTTCTTCATCTCCTCCACTTCCTCCTTTTCCTTCTCTTCCTGCTTCCTCTCCTTTCTCCTTCACCTACTTCATCTCTTTCATCTCATCATCCTTTTCCTTCTTCATCTCCTTCTTTTCCTCCGCTTCTCCTTTTCCTTCTCCTCCCTCTCTTCCCTTTTTCTTCTTTCTCCTTCTTCATCTCTTTCTCAATTTCCTCTTTGTTCTTTCTCCTCCTGTTTCCTCTCCTCTTTCTCCTTCCCTTCCTTCATCTCATCATCCTTTTCCTTCTTCATCTCTTTCCTTTCCTCCGCTTCTCTTTTTCCTTCTCCTCCCTCTCTTCTCCCTTTTTCTTCTTTCTCCTTCTTCATCTTCTCAATTTCCTCTTTGTTCTTTCTCCTCCTGTTTCCTCTCCTCTTTCTCCTTCCCTTCCTTCATCTCTTTCATCTCATCATCCTTTTCCTTCTTCATCTCTTTCCTTTCCTCCGCTTCTCCTTTTCCTTCTCCTCATTCTCTTCTCCCTTTTTCTTCTTTCTCCTTCTTCATCTCCTTCTCCATTTCCCCTTTGTTCTTTCTCCTCCTGTTTCCTCTCCTCTTCTTCTTCCATTCCTTCATATCTTTCATCTCATCATCCTTTTTCTTCTCCACCTCTTTAATCTCCTCCTTTCCTTCCCTACTTCTTTTCTTTCTCCTGTTGCTCCTCCTCCTCCTCTTTCTCTGTCTTCATCTCCTTCTCCATTTCCTCATTTTCCTTCTCTTTCTCCTTCCCTTCCTTCATCTCTTTCACCTCCTTATCGTCCTTTTCCTTCTCCTCCTCTTCCCTCTCTTCCTTTCCTTCTCCACTTCCTCCTTTTCCTTCTTCTCACTCTCTTCCCACTTTTCCTTCTCTTTCTCCTTCTTCACCCCCTTCCTCACTTCCTACTTTTCCTTCTCTTTCTGCTTCCTCTTCTCTTTCTCCTACCCCTCCTTCTTCATCTCTTTCATTTCCTTATCTTCTTCCTTTTCCTTCTCCCTCTCCTCCTCTTTTTGTGTGCTTTTCAAGTCATTCGCAACATATGGAAATGACTTGAAAAGTCATTTGGCAATGGTGAAATCTTTGGGGGGAGGGGGGGTTGCATGTTTGCCACTGCCTTCCCTGAGGCTGAGAGAGTGTGACTTCCCCAAGGTCAACGAGTGGGTATAGATTAGCCAAGTGAGGACACAAGCCCTGGTCCCCAAAGTCATAGTCTGGTGTTCAAACCAAAGGATAATTATCTTAATGTCACTGATAGCCATCGCCAGAAGGGACAGAGAGGTTCATTTATGCTGATGATCATGCCACCACCGCTCAAGCAGAGAGCGTTGAAATAGTTGAACAGAAGCTCTCCAATGCTTTAGGTGCTCTTACAGCCTATTACAGGGAAAATCAGTTGATTCCTAATCCATCTAAAACAAAGACATGTGCTTTTCACCTTAAGAACAGACAAGTATCTCAAACTCCGAGGATTACCTGGGAAGGAATCCCACTGGAGTATTGCAGCACACCCAAATACCCGGGAATAACTCTGGACCGTCTTCTGACTTATAAAAAGTACTGCTTGAATATCAAGCAAAAAGTGTGTGATAGAAATAATATAGTACGAAAGCTGACTGGCACAACCTGGGGGTCACAACCAGACACAGTGAAGACATCTGCTCTTGCGCTTTGCTTGTCTGCTGCATGTTACATATGCCCAGTGTGGAATACATCTCACCAAATTAAAACAGTGGATGTACCTCTTAATGAGACATGCCGCATTATCACAAGATGTCTATGTCCTACACCACTGGAGAAATTATACTGTTTAGTCGGTATTGCACCACCTGACATACGTTGGTCGGGAAGTAGCAGCCAGTAATTAAAGGACCAAGGCAGTGACATCTCCGGCTCATCCTCTGCTCGGATATCAGTCAGCACACCAATGTCTTGAATCAAGAAATAGTTTTCTAAGGTCTACAAAGATACTCGCACAAACACCTTAGCAAGCAAGAGTCCAAAAGTGGTAGGACTCAGTGGCTGAGACTGGATGAGAAACTCCCTCCTGGGCACACAGGCAATGACAAAATCTTAGGGTGAGTGTGTGAGTGTTTGCCACTGCCTTCCCCTGAGGCTGAAAGAGTGTGACTTCCCCAAGGTCACCGAGTGGGTATTAATTACACAAGTGGGGACACACACCCTGGTCCCAAAAGGCATCGTCTGGCATTCAAACCAAAGAATGGCTCTCTAATCTTACTGCATTTATTTCTCAGCTTGGGACTGAAGGCAGCTTAAACCAGGGGTCCCCAAGCTATGGCTCGTGGCCTGGTTGTGGCCACTCACCTGATCCCTGACCTAAACTTGAGATTGTGCCTCAAGTGTCATCCGTGGCTCCTTCCCCGTTATTCTCCCCAATCACTCCCTCCCTCTTTCCGAGCACGAGGCTTACCATCACGTAATGGCGCTGCATTTCCGACTTCTCGCTCGCAAGTTTGTCACATTCCAGCTTCAGGCTGCAAGGGAGAGAGAAAGAGTCTGGCCATCTGTGAAGACATGTCTTGCCTTCCCTTTCCATCACAGGAGGGAATGCCTCTTCATTGTGCCAGGAATTCCTGGCACTGGGAGGCAATGCAGGCCTAGTTTAGAATTACTATCATTGGAGAAGAGGCATTCAATCATAGGAAGGAATGCCTCTTCAAAGATGTAAGCTGCATTGGGTCTCTTTAAAAAGGTGGCATAATAATAATAATAATAATAATAATAATAATAATAATAATAATAATGATGATGTTAATATGCCTTACAACCAGCATGTTCCCCTATACAAAAAGCTTGTATTTAATAGTAACTCTCAAGCAGCAAGAAACTACACTTATGCAGTATCTACCAATCCCCCGGTTTGCCATGGATTAACTGAGAATCTATTCTATTATTATTAATAATAATAACAATGATATCTATTCTGATATCATTGTTATTATTATTCATAATAATAGAATAGATTCTCAGTTAACCCATAATTGAGAGTCTGGTGATAATAATTATCAAGTAGACTCTCAATTAACCCATGGGGATTGGTAGATTATTATTAATGATAGTTATTAATAATAACAATTAGAGTAGACTCTCAATTAACTGATTACTGAGATGATGATGATAATAATAATAATAATAATAATAATTAGAGTAGACTCTCAGTTAACCCATAGGATTGGTAGATAATGATTAATAATAGTTTATTATTATTAATTCATTTACCATATTTATATACTGCCCCTCTCAACCCAGAGGCAACTCGAGGCGGTTATTATAATAATATTAATATTTATCATTCTTATTAATAATATGTATCATTATTATGAGCCCCCTGGTGGCATAGTGGGTTAAACCACTGAGCTGAACTTGCTGACTGAAAGGTTGGCGGTTTCAATCCAGGGAGTGGGCTGAGCTCCCACTGTCAGCCCCAGCTTCTGCCAACCTAGCAGTGAGTAGATGAATAGGTACCGCTTTGGCGGGAAGGCAAACGGCGCTCCATGCAGTCATGCCGGCCACGTGACCTAGGAGGTGTCTATGGGCAATGCTGGCTCTTTAGCACCACCCCCCATAGTCAGACACAACTAGACTTAATGTGAAGGGGAAACTTTTACCTTTTATCATTATAATTAATAGCTATTATTATTATTATTATTATTAATAATAATAATAATAATAATAACAATAAAAGACTCTCAGTTAATTCATAACTGAGAGTCTAATAATAATAATTAGAATAGGTTCTCAGTTAACTTATGGAGATTGGGAGATTATTAATAAAAGTTATCAATATTATTATTTTAATAGTAAAAATAATAATAGACTCTCAGTTAACCCATAACTGAAGGTCTAATAATAATAATGATTAGATGAAACTCTCAGTTAACCCATGGGGATTGTTAGATTACTATTACTACTACTACTACTACTACTAATAATAATAATAATAATAATAATAATAATAATAATAATACAATAATAAGAACAATTTCCAGTAATGGTTAAGCGGCTTAACGAGATATCTGGGCAAGTAGTGGGGAAACACTGGTTTAAATAACAATGAATAGTTATAATAATTACTTAGATCAGGCGTGGGCAAACTTTCTAACTTTGGGGCTCCATGCTAGCACTCCCTGCTAAGAGAGGGAAGGAGGGAGGGAAGAGGGAAGGATGAAAGGTTGAAAGGGAAGATGGAAGGAAAGAGAGAGAGAGAGGAAAGGAGGGAAGAAAGAGGGAAGGAAAAAAGTGTGGAAGGGAAGGATGGAAGGAGAAAGAGGGAGAGGGAAGGAGGGAGGAAAGAGGGAAGGAATGGGGAAAGGTGGGAAGGGAAGGATGGAGGGAGAAAGGGAGATAGGGAAGGGGGAAAAGGGAAGGAAAGATGAAAGGGTGGAAGAAAAGAATTGAAGGAGAAAGAGGGAGAGAGGGAAGAAGGGAGGAAAGGGGGAAGGACGAAAGGGTGGAAGGGAATGATGGAACAAGAAAGAGGGAGAGAGGGAGGGAGAGAGAAAAGGGAGAAGGAATGGGGAAAGGGTGGAAGGGAAGGATGGAAATCGAGAGAGGGGAAGAGGGAGGGAAGAAAGGAAGGAAGGACGAAAGGGAGGAAGGGAAGGAGAAAGAGGGAGAGAAGGAAGGAGGAAAGAGGGAAGGAAAGATGAAAGGGTGGAAGAACAGGATGGAAGGAGAAAGAAGGAGAAAGGGAAGAAGGGAGAAAAGGGGGAAGGACGAAAGGGTGGAAGGGAATGATGGAAGGAGAAAGAGGGAGAGAGGGAAGGAGAGAGAAAAGAGAAGGAATGGGGAAAGGGTGGAAGGGAAGGACGGAAAGTGAGAGAGGGAGGGAAGAAAGGGGGAAGGAAGGAAGGACGAAAGGGAGGGAGGGAAGGAGAAAGAGGGAGAGAGAGAAGGAGGGAGGAAAGAGGGAAGGAAGGACGAAAGGGTGGAAAGGAATGGTGGGATGGATGGAAGGGAGGGAGGAAAGAGAGAAGGAAGGAAAGACAAAAGGGAAGGAAGGAAGAGAGAAAGGGAAAAGAGGGAAGGAAAGATGGAAGTGTGGGAGGGAGGGAAGGAGGAAGGAAAGAGAGAAGGAAAGATAGAATCGTGAGAGAGAGGAGGGCCTGAGGAAAGAGCCCAAGGGGCCGCATTCAGCCCCCAGGCCTCGGTTTGCTCATACCTGACCTAGAACAACAACAAGGAAGGAGTAGAGGTTGGGGAGAAGGGGACAGCAAGGGAAACCTGCCTGTGGTACTGGGCTTGAAGCAGCTGGAACTCGTCTTTGATCCGGTCACATGAATCCGACGTTGTGAACTTCAGCTGCTGAGGCAGATGAGAGGAACCCTAAAGGAGGAGAAACCAACAGGTTTAGCTGAAGACAACACAATCTGATCCTTCCCAACAGATGGCCCTCCAGCCAAACTCCAGAAAAGGGAACTCCCATGGTATTTGAGGAAGCACATTCCACCGTCACACAGCTCTAAGGATGTTCTTCCTAATGTTTAGCTGGAATCTTTTTTCCTATTTGCTTTTTTACAGTTCAGACTAAAACCTGGAGTGGGTTTACACACAAAGAAACCCCCAGCTATTACTTTCTGCTTGGATTATCTATTAAACTAAGATTATTGTGTGCCTTTCAACTTACTTCCAATGTACATTGACCCTAAGGTGACTCTATCACGGGTTTTCTTGGAAAACATTATGATTTGGGGGAGGTTTGCGGTTGCCTTCCTTTGAGGTCTGAGTGAGAGGACACTTTCCTTATTATTTCAAACATGAAACGACTTCAGTGCCGTGTTTTTAGGACACCTCCCTGAAGAGAGCCATGCCGGATATATTTCCCATTTAACCTTCTTCTATCGAGGCCACGCTTTAGTACGTTCGTGCGCACCCCCCTCCTTTCAGAATCCTTATCTATGGATCCAACCATTTATATAAATAGTTCCCAACCTTTTTTTTTTTTTACCAAGGACCACTCTGATTTTTTTTGTTGTTAGCAGGAAGCACAAAGTAAAAGAAAAATAAATTGTGTTAATCTAAAAATAAAACTTAATTAAAACTTTAAACATATTCATTAAACTTCACAGTAACATGAATTAAGAGATCTATCTATCTATCTATCTATCTATCTATCTAGCTAGCTAGCTAGCTTCTATATCTATATAAATAAAAATGTAAAGTTTGTTTGTGGGATTAACATAACACAAAACCCACTGGGCAAATTGACACCAAATTTGGACACAATACACCTATCAGGCCAACGAGTGACCATCACTCATAAAAACACTGGAAAATATAGTGGAAGAGACTTAAAAAGCCAAAAATTAAAAAATACATTACAACGCATGCACAAAACCACATATATACACATATACACACAAAACACATATATATAGACTGGGCCACAGCAATGCATGGCAGGGAACGGCTAGTACATAATAAAAGTGAAAATATGCATGTGTGTGTGTGTGTGTGTGTGTGTATGGCCGGGGTGTCCACTTACACAGACAAGCTTCTGCCTCCACAAACAGCTATAGCTCTCACTACTCAGGAGACACCAATGGCTCTCCCTCCAATGACATTGCAGGTTATAATGAGTGCCATGAACATGTCCGAGAGCCCTGCCAATGTCCTCCACAAACACAATTCTACCCACCAACCAAGTGAAGATTTTCATTCAGGGACAATTCCATCCTAGATTTTCTGGCATCCCAGTGTTTCTGATTCTCCCCATTGGTGTGGAATTTGCATGACCCCGCCCACTGCCTCTTCCTTAAGCCTTTCCTGCTCTTTTTTATGGCACATCGCAAACAGAGGAATTGATCAGCAACTGAACATACTACAGAGTTTTGAGTAGAATTCACCATGATTACTAGGAGTTGTAGGTCCTGGGATGTATAGTTCACCTGCAGTCTAAGAGCGCTCTAAACTCCACCAATGATGGAACTGGAACTAAATTGGCACACAGACCAACAAAATATACTGGAGGTCTTTGGAGGGATTTATAGGAGTTTTAATTCACCTACATCCAGAGCACAATATGAACCCAAACAAAGATGGATCTGAACCAAACTTGGCATGCATACCCAATATGCCCAAATCTGAACACTGGTGGGTTTTAAGGGGAATTGGTCTGGCAATTTTGGAGTAGTAGATACTGGGATTTAAAGTTCACGTTGCTACTGACACAGACCATGGCACTGGTGGTGATGGGCGTGGTGGGCTCGTACCCATTGTGAGTGCTAGTACGGAGCGAAGGGAGTGAGGAGGGCAAGGAGCACATGGTGCTGGGCACTGTGTGGGCCATCATACACGAGGACTTGCTCCAGACGCACTGCTGCTGGACCCGGCAGGCAATCTGCTCATGCTGAGCATGGCCTTCTACTGCCTGTTCAGCATGATCAGTGGCACTTTGGTGCTAATGCTGGACTTCTTGAAGCAGTGTTGTGGAAAGTCCTTGGTGCCTTTGGCCCGCGACTTGACAGCGATGGGTTCACAGTGATTTCTGGCTGTAGGTGAACTACAACTCCCCCAAATCAAGGTGAATTTTTCCAAAAAACCTCCAGTATGTTTTGCTGGTCATGGGGCTCTGAGTGCGGAGTGCAAGGAAAACGTGGTGCTGGGCACTGCGTGGGCCATCATGCACGAGGACCTGCTCCAGACGCACTGCTGCTGGACCCGGCAGGCAATCTGCTCATGCTGAGCATGGCCTTCTGCTGCCTGTTCAGCGTGATCAGTGGCACTTTGGTGCTGATGCTGGACTTCTTGAGGCGGTGTTGTGGACTTGACAGCGATGGGCTCACAGTGATCTCTGGCTGTAGGTGAACTACAACTCCCCCAAATCAAGGTGAATTTTCCCGAAAAACCTCCAGTATATTTTGCTGGTCATGGGGGCTCTGAGTGCCAAGTTTGGTCCAATTCTGTCTTTGGTAGATTTCAGCGTGGTCATTCATTGCAGGTGAACTATAAATCCCAGTACCTACAACCCATCAGTATTCAAATTTGGGCATATTAGGTATGCATGCCAAGTTTGCTCCAGATCCACTTCAGTGGTGGGCAGTATGGTGTTTGTGGAGGACATTGGCAGGACTCTTGGACATGTTCACAGCGCCCACTATAACCTGCAATGTCATTGGAGGGAGGGCCGTTGGTGTCTCCTGTGTAGTGGGAGCTGTAGCTATTTGTGGAGTGAACACCCCAGCCACATAGACACATACATATTTTCACTTTTATTATGTGTTTTATTATGTGTATAGATATATAGAAAGATAGATAGATATATTATAACCATAGTATTATATATTACTATGGACTATGATTTCGGGACTATGTGCTTTGTTTTTAACTGCTTATTTAAATGTATTCAAATGCACAATGTAATTTGTATGCTTTTTTAAATTTCTTAATGCGGCATTGTCAATGTGTAAGCCGCTCTGAGTCCCCTTCGGGGTTGAGATAGAGTAAATAAATAAAAGTTTTGGTTCTTGTGGACCACTGGTGGTCCACAGACCACAGGTTGGGAACCACTGATCTATATGGCTTTGAAATATCCCCCCTCTGATCCCCCAAAAGAAACCCTCATTTTATATATGGGACGACAATGTACGCAATGTCGTCCATCTCCAGCCTCACTCCTTTGCTCTCGGAACTCTTTTTTATCAGCTCCATTTCCAGTCGAGCACAAAATTGATTCAGGACAAGGAACTGAATGCTCTCTTTCATGAAAGGGTGATTGGGAGCCTTGCCCAGATCTAGATAATGACTACCATTCCCATCATCATCCTAAACAAGTGTCACTTGGGGATGACTTTAGCATGGACCAACAAATCCACTCATCCGAGTGGCAACTGATATCCGACAGTGGAGATTGCCTTGGAGGTTGGAGGGCCGGGCATCTTTCAAGACAGCTTGATTTGTGTCTTCCTGGACTAGATAGCCTCTGAGGCCTCTTCCAACCGGAAGATGGCATGCTTCGTGTGAAGGAAGAGGCTGTCAAAAGTGATTTACCAATTCCGGTATGGTCTGCCGATTTTGCCAAGGCTCATCGCAGAATAAGAATGACTAATCGAGGTCCAGATCTTGGATTTAGCACATCTAACGTGATTGATGGTAGTACAGAGGATAAACAGACATATGGGATCTGGATTTTTGCCTGATTTCCCCTCACCCCATCGCACGTCTCTGCCCTAACCAGATGATAAGAGGCACATTCTGGTTCAGAGGTCAAGGAATCATGATCCAGGCAAGAGAGAGTATGGGAACCAAAGGGCACCTGAGCTTCACGTCCCTTTGCTGCCCCAAACCCCAACCTAATCACAGTATGGAGTTTCACCTCGAAAGGCAACACCTGGGCTTCTTAAAAAACCCTGACCCTGCTCCCTCATTGTACTGAATCCTTCTCCAAAGCACCCAGTCCTTGGCTCTGCCACAGGGGCCTTTATCCTGGCACCCCAATCTTGTTCTATGTAGGACCCCAAAGCTTCCAAACCTCTTCCCCACAGCACCTCCAATCTCTCTATTCCACCTCAACACTTTCAGTGTACACTGAGGCTACCCCAATCCTTTCGCTCCCATCCCCAGGGTCCCCGCTACATTCCCTAGCCACACTGCAACCTTTGTAGCTCTCCCTTGGCACCCCAAAATCCTCCCTAAGGCCCTCCCCATGACCCCCAATTTCTTGCTTCACTGAAATCCTCTTTCTTCTCCCTCTTGGGCCCGCAACACTCTCCCTAAGGCCCCCCCAATCTCTTCCCCAGAGCTCCCAACCACTAGTCTCATTGCAATCCCTTCTTCTCTCCCTCCTGTCCTTCCAAGATCGTCTCTAAGGCACCCAAACCCAGGGCCTCCCAATCCCTAGCCTCATTTGAATCCCTCCTTCTCTCCCTTTTGGACCCTCTTGGATCTTCCCTAAGGACGTCCCAATAGCTTTCCCTAAGGCCCCCAACCCCTAGCCTCACTGCAATCCTGCCTTTTAATTATAATTATATATTTTATATTACGTGTAATATTACTAATAATATTACAATATAATGGTATAGTACAATATAGTAATATATAATAGTGATATTGTTGTTGTTTGGGGGGGGTTGGTCGTGTCAGGAGCGACTTGAGAAACTGCAAGTCGCTTCTGGTGTGAGAGAATTGGCCGTCTGCAAGGACATTGCCCAGGGGACGCCTGGATGATTTGATGTTTTTATCATCCTTGTGGGAGGCTTCTCTCATGTCCCCGCATGAGGAGCTGGAGCTGATAGAGGGAGCTCATCCGCCTCTCTCCGGATTCGAACCAGCAACCTGTCGGTCTTCAGTCTTGTCGGCACAGGGGTTTAACCCACTGCGCCACCAGGGGGCTCCCCGGTGATATTGTACTATGCTAATAATATAATATATTGTATGTATATATATATTGTAAGCCGCTCTGTGTCCCCTTTGGGGTGAAAAGAGTGGCATATAAATGCCGTAAATAAATAACTAAATCCTCTCCCTCTTGGTTCCTCAAGTTCCTCCCTAAAGCCCCCCAGGGCCCCCAACCCCTAGCCTTATTGCAATCCCTTCTTGTCTTCCTCCTGCCCACCCCCCCCCCATCCTCCCTAAGGTTCCACAAAGCCCCCAATCTCTTGCCTCATTTTAACACCTCCTTTTCTCCCTCGTGGACCCCTAAGACCTTCCCCAGGGCCCCCAATCCCTTGTTTCATTCAATGCCTCCTTGTCTCCCTCATGGACCCACAAAATCTTCCTCAGGGCCTCTCAACCCCTAGTCTCATTGCAAGACCTCCTTGTCTCCCTCCTGCCCTCCCCCGCCCCACAAAGATCCTCCCTAAGGCACCCCAAACATTTCCCCAGGGTCTCTAGTCCCTTGCCTAATTTTAATTCCATCTTCTCTCCTTCCTGCCCTCCCAAGTGCCTACCTAAGACACCCCAAATCTTTCTCCAGGGCTCCCAACCTCTAGCCTCATTACGATCCCGCCTTGTCTCCCTCCTGTCCCCCCAAGATCCTCCCTAAAACACCCCAAAGCCTTCCCCGGGGACCCCAATTCCTTGCCTCATTTTAATCCTTCCTTCTCTTGTTCCTGGACCCCCAAGATTCTCCCTAAGGACACCCCAAAGCCTTCCCCAAAGCCCTCCAATCTCTTGCCTCATTGCAATCCACTTTTCTCTCCCTCTTGGACCCTCAAGATCTTCCCTGAGGACACCCCAATTGCTCTCCCTAAGGCCCCCAGTCCCTAGCTTCATTTCAATCCCTTCTTATCTTCCTCCTGTTGCCCCAAGATCCTCTCTAAGGACACCCCAATATCTCTCCCTAAGACGCCCAACCCCTAGCCTCATTGCAATCCTTCTCTCCTTTCTGTCTCCCCCAAATCCTTCTGAAGATACTCCACACCCTTCCCCAGGGCCCCCAATCCCTTGCCTCATTTTAATCCCTCCTTCTCTCCTTCATGGACCCCCCAAAACCTTCTTCAGGGCCTCCCCAACCCCTAGCCTCATTACAATCCCTTCCTATGCTTCTTGGACCCCCAAGATTCTCCCTAAGACACCCTAAACCCTTCCCCAGGGCCCCCAATCACTTGCCTCATTGCAATCCCTCCTTCTCTCCTTCCTAGACCCCAAGATCTTCCCTAAGGACACCCCAATCTCTCCCTAAGGCCCCCGATCCCTTGCCTTACTGCAATCTCTTCTTCTCTCCCTCTTGGACCCCAAGATCCTTTCTAAGGGCACCCCAAATCTGTTTTCCTAAGACCTTCAACCCCTAGTCTCATTGCAATCCCTCCTTCTCTCCCTCTTGGACCCCAAGATCCTTCCTAAGGGCACCCCAATCTCTTTTCCTAAGACCCCCCAACCCCTCGCCTCATTGCAATCCCTCTTTCTCTCCCTCTTGGACCCCAAGATCCTCCCTAACGGCACCCCAATCTCTTTTCCTAAGACCCCCCCAACCCCTAACCTCATTGCAATCCCTTCTTCTCTCCTTCCTGGACGCCAAGATCCTCCCTAAGGACACCCCCAACTCTTCCCCAGGGCCCCAAATCCCTTGCCTCATTGCAATCCCTTCTTCTCTCCTCTTGGACCCCAAGATCCTCCCTAAGACACCCTAAAATCTTTTCCTAAGACCTCCACCCCCTAGCCTCATTGCAATCCCTCCTTCCCTCTAACTTGGAGCTCCCAAGATCCCCCTAAGACACCCCAAACCCTTCCCACTTGGAGCCCCCAAGATCCTCCCTAAGACACCCCAAACCCTTCCCCAGTGCCTCCAATGCCTTGCCTCATTGCAATTCCTCCTTTTCTCCCTTTTGGACCCCCAAGATCCTCCCTAAGGACACCCCAATATCTCTCCCTAAGACTCCCAACCCCTACCCTCATTGCAATCCTCTTCTCCTTCCTGTCCCCCAAGTTCCCCCTAAGACACCCCAAACCCTTTCCCATACCCTCCTTTCATTGCAATCCCTCCTTCTCTCCTTCCTGGACCCCCAAAGCCTTCATCAGGGGCTCCCCAACCCCTAGCCTCATTGCATTCCTTCCTTCTCTCCCTCTTGGACTCCCCCTCCCCCCCAAGATCCTCTCAAAGACACCCCAAACCCTTCCCTTATTGCAACCCCATCTTTTCTTCCTCCTGCCCCCCAAGACTCTCCCTAAGGACACCCCAATCCCTCTCCCCAAAGTCCTCAACCCCTTGTCTCATTGCACCCCCTACTTTCCCTCTCCTGATTCCACCCAGATCCCCCCCCCCCCCCCTTTTCCCCCCCCCCCCCCCCCCCCGCCTTACCGAGTGCCTGCTTTGGGGAAACATCATGGCAGGGGCCTTGGGCTTTCCCGTTCGGCTGCGGCTGCCTTCTGGGACGGAAGAGGATCCGACGGAGGCCCCGAGGAGGAGGAAGAGAAGGAAGAGAAGAAGGCGGTCGGAGGAGAAGAGGGGGATCAGGAGGGAGGTGGCCCCCCAAAGCCCAAGATCCCTTCGCCTTTCCTCCTTCTGCTCTACCTCCTGCTTGCCTTGCCTTTGCCTCCTATTGTGTTTAATGGCGGCGCGGCCTCCCCTCCTGCGGCTTTCGCAACAGCGCCACCTGCTGCTCCGACACTGCAGCGCCGAGCGCGCTCTCCTCCCCCTTTTCCCTCGCCAAACTACAACTCCCAGGATTCCACAACCTTAAGCCATGGGCTGTTCAAGTGGTATCTCAACTGCATTAATTCTCCAGTGTACACCCATTAACACCCAGTTTCCCATTGGTTGCTAATGCTAATTAATGTAATTGTAATACATATTGCAATGACAAATATAATACATAAAATAAATAAATAATAAATATTAAATTAAATATTAAATATTATTAATTGATTTTTAAATTAATTCAATTCATCTTCTATCTATCTATATATAAATGCTCTGTGCATAATGAGTACCTTAAAAACAAAAGAACCAATGAACGAAATCACACCAAATTTGGCAACAAAACGCCTCACAACACAAGGAGCGACCATCACTCCAAAACTTATGATTTTGTCATTTGGGAGTTGTAGTTGCTGGGATTTAGAGTTCACTTACAATCAACAATGATGGATCTGGACCAAACTCTACATGAATACTCAATATGCCCAGATGTGAACACTGGTGGAGTTTGGGGAAAATAGAATCTTGACATTTGGGAGTTGTAGTTGCTGGGATTTAGAGTTCACTTATAATCAAAGAGCATTCTGAACTCCACCAACGATGAAACTGAATGAAACTTGGCACACAGGACTCCCATGATCAACAGAAAATACTGGAAGGGTTTGGTGAGCATTGACCTTGAGTTTGGGAGTTGTAGTTCACCTAAAACATCCAGAGAGCACTGTGGACTCAAACAATGATGGATCTGGACCAAACTTGGCACAAGCACTCGATATGCCCGGATATGAACACAGATGGAGTTTGGGGGAAATAGACCTTGACATTTGGGAGTTGTAGTCACTGGGATTCACAGTTCTACAATCAAAGAGCATTCTGAACCCCACAAATGACAGAATCAGGGCAAACTTCCCACACAGAACCCCCATGACCAACAGAAAATACTTAAGGCAATCCAATCCAACTCGCTTCATCAGGGCAAGAAAACGTAATCAAAGTCCTCCTGACAAAGAGCTATCCAGCTATACATAGATAGATAGATAGATAGATAGATAGATAGATAGGTTTATTTGTCGTGTCAGGACAGCCAGAACAGAAGATAGATAGATAGGATTCACACACAGAGAGATATAGTATCATAGATTTGAAAGGGACCCTTAAAGAAGGACAATGATATGTTGCATGTTCCAGGGTGGGCAAACCAGACACTCTCCACATCAACACTGACAAAGAAACAGGAAGAAATACTGTTTACCCACAAGCATAAAGAAATTACATATATTAGAACACTTTCTCGTTACTTTATTTTCAAGATCACCAGACTGGGCCACTGCAACGTGTGGCAGGGAACTGCTAGTATTATTGTAATAAACATAATAATAAAATATAATATACATTGTAATAGATATATGAATAAATATTATTACAATTATAATAAATATTCCAATAATACATATAATATATAGAAATACTATGAATAAAACAGCAGTTCAATAGATATTATTATAATAAATATTGTGATAATACATATAATATATAGAATTACTATTAACAATACACAGCAGTACAATAAAATACATATATTATATAATACATATATAATATATAGAAATACTATTAATAATACACAGTGTTGTTCATTTGTTCAGTCGCTTCCGACTCTTTGTGGCCTCATGGGCCAGCCCACGCCAGAGCTCCCTGTTGGCCGTCACTACGCCCAGCTCCTTCAAGGTCAATCCAGTCACTTCAAGGATACCATCCATCCATCTTGCCCTTGGTCGGCCCCTCTTCCTTTTTCCTTCCTTTTCCCCCGGCATCATACTCTTCTCTAAGCTTTCCTTTCTTCTCATGATGTGGCCAAAGTACTTCATCTTTGCCTCTAATATCCTTACCTCCAATACACAGTAGTACAATAAATATTTTTTATAATTATAATAAATAGCATAGTAATAAATACTATCATAATAAATATTATTGTAATTATAATAAACATGGTTATAATAAATATCATAATGCATATACATATTAAAATATATACTATAATAATAAATAGTATTATTATAACTATTTTGTAATTATAATAACTATTATTAAAATACATACTGTCATAATAAATATAAATATAATAAATATTAGAACAAATATTGTTATAATAAATATAAAACATATTATATTGTAATATATAATATAATAATAAATATTAGAACAACAACAGCAATATAATACACCTCTCCATTTGTCCCCTATCTATAGAATCTGGGAAAAATATCCATCTGTCAGTCTGTCCGTCTGTCCATCCATCCGTCCGTCTCTCTATCTATCTATCTATCTGTCTGTTTGTGAGTCCGTCCATATCTATCTATCTATCTATCTATCTATCTATCTATCTATTCATCAATCTATTTGTCTGTCTGTCTGCCCATCCATCAATCCGTCTGTTCATCTATCTATCTATCTAACCTTCAATCCATCCATTCATATGCTTAGCTGTCTGTCTGCCCATCTATCCATTCGTCTATCTATCTGTCCATCTGTGAGTCTATCTATCTATCTATCTATCTATCTATCTATCTATCTATCTATCCGTCTGTTTATTCATCTGTCTGTCTGTCCATCCGTCTGTCCGTCCATCTATCTGTCTATCTATCTATCTATCTATCTATCTATCTATCTATCTATCTATCTATCTATCTATCTATCTATCTATCCATCCATCCATCCATCCATCTATCCATCTATTCATCTATCTATCTATCTATCTATCTATCTATCTATCTATCTATCTATCTATATCTATTCATCAATCGATTGATCGATCGATCCATTCTTCTTCTATCCATCCATCCATCTATCTCTCTACACATCTGTGCATCCATCTATCTATCTATCTATCCATCCATCCATCAATCCATCCATATGTCTATCTATCTGTTCCTCCGCCAACCTGCCCATCTATCCATCTGTCCATCCATTGGTCTGTCTGTCTATCTATCCATCTATCCATCCATCCGTCTATCTATCTTTCCGTCCACCTATCCGTCTGTCCATCCATCTATCTATCTATCCGTCTGCCTGTCTATTTGTATGTCTGTCTATCTATCTATTCCCAATGAGATTTATGGATGCCACACCAACAGAAAGTTCATAGATCAGGTCCGTGCAACATCAGAGATGGCACAAGTGATGAATGAGAAAGGGCACATGTCCTTGGCAACAGCAGTCTTCCCATTCTAGATGTGAATGGGCAGGGAAGCTTGGATTCCTCCGAGACAAATGCCAGAAGACACATGCTCAGAGGCACCCTCAGCTGTTTCAAGGAGGAAGAGGCAAGATGCCCGAAAACCTCACCAAATATGTGTCGTTTCCTTGGCGGCCTCCTCTGGTTTGGCATGAAATTCCACAGATTTCAGTCTGGGAGAGGGTTAAATTCCTGGCCCCTCTCTAAAGGAGGCTCTTTGTTGCTAAAAGGGAGCCTCTGTCAGGAGGAAGCTGCCAAAAATAAATCCCATTTAATGAACAGCCTTTGTGAATTATTCAAGTCCCCCCCTTTTTTTTCTGTCCTCTTTTCTGCTTTCCTCTCTTAAAGGAGACTCAAAGTGGCCAACAAGGCTAAACACAACACAATTTATGATTTCAAATCTGAAGCCGAAATAAAATGACGTATCGAATGATCAAAAATAAGTATGTAAAATCACATACGCTATTCAAGGACTTCACACTGATTTCTTGTTGCTATTTACTATTAGAAACAGGACACTCTCAGCTAATTGGGACTCTCAAGCAAAAGAAATAAAAACATACTTTAGTACACCTGCATGACATTACATTGAGCTTATCTTTATTGATCTTATTTTGCTTGTAATGCCTGTATTAGAATATTAATATCAAGTCAATACAGAGTTTATAGTATATCATGGAATATAGTATTATTAATTAGACCTATTTTTAATAGGAACTCTCAAGCAACCAGAAACGACATTGATCCGGCACCTATTAATCAATATGGCTGCTGGTTAACTGAAGTATAGAACCGGTTAATTCAAGTATAGAACAAAAGAAGCATGGAATAAAAAAAATAGATTCATAGAATTAAAGAGTCATAGAATAGAACCATGGGATGAAAGAGCCACAGAACGATGGAACCACACAATAGAACCCAAAAATCATAGAACTATAGAACAAAAGTAACTGAATCAGAACAATAGAACAACAGAATCATATAACAAAAGAATCACAGAATTGTGGAATGAAAGAATGATAGAAACCAGTTATCTTGATTCCTCTCATTCTGGTTTTAGGCCTGGTCACGGAACGGAGCCAGCTTTGGTCGCATTGGTGGATGATCTCCGCAGAGAGCTAGACAAGGGGGAGTGTGTCCCTGTTGGTTCTCTTGGATCTCTCAGCGGCTTTCAATACAATTGACCATGGTCTCCTTCTGGGCCGGCTCTCCAGAATGGGTCTTGAGGGAACTGCCTTGCAGTGGCTCCACTCCTTCTTGGAGGATGGTACCCAGAAGACACCTGCTCAGATCTCTGGCCTTTGACCTATGGGGTCCCACAAGGTTCAGTTCTTTCCTCCATGGTTTTCAACATCTACATGAAACCACTGGGTGAGGTCATCTGAAGTTTTGGAGTTGGGTGTCATCTCTACGCAACTCCACCCCATTCTTTTCCACTCCATTCCAAGGAAGCTCCCCAGATCCTGGACCAGTGCCTGGCAGTTGTGATGGACTGGATGAGGGCTAATAAGTTGAGGCTCAATCCAGACAAGACAGAGTTCCTTCTGGTCAGTCGTGAGGCCGATCAGGGTCTAGAGTGGAAACCTGTGCTCGATGGGGACACAGGTCTACAGTCTGGGGGTCCTCCTGGATTCAGCACTGAATCCAGGATGCTTGAAGCTCAGGTGGCCGGGAGGGCTTTTGCACAGTTAAAACTTGTGTGCCAGCTGCAACCGTACCCTACACAGT